TGGTCAGGGGGTTGAGGGGCATGATACTGCCTCATGTAGTGAAATTTGTTATATCCAATAGCTCGGACATTGGGGAACTGAACCAGGACCCGCACGAAGGTTGCTCAACATTTCGCTCGAATATGGACAAAAATAGAATCTCTCTCTTTTTCTGAGGTAAAGAACCTTTTAAGAACTAGCACTCAAAGATTAAAAAAGATTAACACCTTTATAATTAGATGGGCAGCTAAGATACTGCATCATTTAGTGAAATTTGTAATGTCCAAAAGCTCGGACATTGGGGAACTGAACCAGGGCCTGCATGAAGGTTGCTCTGCTCCAGTGAGAATGAGGAAACATGTGGGAGAAAGAGAGAAAGCAAGATTTATTCCCTCTTGTGCGACGGAAAACCTTAAAAAAAAATTTGTAGCCATAGTTTTGAAAACATTGGCAACTTTTTTATACAGAATGAAACTCTTAAAACAAGAATATATATTTTGAGGAATAAATCTCTCTCTTCGCTAGTATATATATTTTTAATTAGTTTAAAAGTTAGCAATTCTCTTAATGACGAAGCCTTCCAAACATGGCTCATTAAAATAACTTTTTGTTTATGAAATTGCGTAAGTATTTATGCAATATTTATTATAAAACAATCATAATGCGCAATGGCATTTCATTTTTGTAGAAAGGCTTTATAAGGTAAATATAATAGCAATGCGATACTGTTTCAATCTGAAGTATTATTTTAAATATGGCAATTAAAGCACCGTAAGATTGTGAGTGTTCAAGTCTAGGGGGGACTAAGCATTTTTTTTGTGTGAATGTGCAAAGCCCGTGTTTATTTGTGTAAGTTAAAAATTGAGTTTTTGTTTGTGTATAAGAGTTTAGCAATGAATTTAAGTAAGATTGTGACTCTGTTTTAAGTTTAGGGGGGGACTAAGTATTTTGCGCGAATGTGAGAGCCCTGGGTTTATTTGTGTAAGTTGAAAAAAAAAAATGAGTTTGTTTTTGCGAGCGAGTTTGTTTAAGCATGTGCTATCATTAAAAACTTCCAAAGTAATGACAGTAATGCCAAAATGAATTCATCTTTTCACTTTTTGAAAGGTGGAGGTGTAACATTTTCTGAAAACCTTTGCGATTGATATACCACCACTGACATAAAAGGCAACTGATGGAGTCAACTTTTAAATTTTAACACATGATTTCAAAAAGCATTTAATAGCAACAGATAGTGTCAGTCGATGCGTTACATGAAGTTATTGGGCCCCCACCACAATAGCTGCAAACTATTATGATGTTAAAAAATGCAATTTCATACAGAATATGAACAGATTCCTAGTACATATTAAATTGCTTAAACCACTTAACTACTTTCCTTTATAGCATATTTACAAGTGACAAATTAATGTTTGGAGTGTCAAACCCAACACAATATGGCTGAGGCCCCCACTATTTAACTTCTTTTCGTATTCTATGAAATATCACAGGTATTGTTAATGCTTGTAACGTTTATTACAAAAGATAGACATACATTTGATGCTATTTTTCATATTAAAATCTAATTTGAGGTCCGAAAAATATATCTATAAAATCTATAAACAGGTTAGAACCAAACAAATGCAAGCATGCCTTTTTCACCAGTAATCAACTGAATGCCACAGAAAATGGAGTCTTTACTTTAGCTACAGAAAACGGAGCAAAGCCAAGGGGGGATGACTGGGATAAACAGTTTCCAACCAGACTCTTCTCGCACATAAACATGTCTTTCTTGACCTCATTTCAAATTATATAGAGTACTGAAAGCTCATTTTCCATAGCAAATATACTAAGGAACTCATTTTACGACTAGAACGCAAACTAGGACCCCTCATTCAGATTCAAAACACGAGAATTATTGACTGAACATTTACCCACCATCAAGCACACAGGACTCTTTAAAGCTATCTTAACTTCTTTAAAACCCTAATATGACCCATCTCACATGCAGATCCTGTTCTATGACTCGCCCTTCATGTCAATGTACCCCACAGTATCATGCAAATTCAAGATAAGGCTTACTACACCTATATATCCAACTTGGTCTTTGTAAGGAATCTTGATCCCCCCCCCTCCCTTCTATGCTTGACCCCACTGGGGTTATCATAGGTAGGGGGTCCCTATTGCCGACGTCATGTCACGTGACACCCCTGCGACAAATAAGGAAAATTTCACCTGATTGACCCATGACCCCGAGACAGAAAGAGAATTTTTCTACTCGGCTCCTGATTGGTCAAAAAAATCGCGCCCCGTTCTCACCGCTCACCTCTGACCATTACAGAAAATGGAGCTGTGCCAAGGGCTCCCTGTACTATTCAGTCATAGCCTCATTAAAGTACTCCAAAAACTTCTATATTCGCTTTCAACTGTGTTTCTTGATTTGAATCTATTGAACATTCACAATCTGATCTATTCATAAGTAGGAGCCCCCAAATTGATACCATAGTACTCTGGTCACACCCCCGGCCCAAATCGTGAATTTTGTTCATGCCATTAAAATACTCCAAAAACGTTTATATGCCTTTCACCAGTGTATTTTTTGGTTTTCATCTATTGAACATTCATCCTCGGTACCTCCCATAAGTAAAGACTCCCTTCTTGAGGCCTTAGACTCGTCTTAAAAGCAAGAGACATATCGAGAAAAAACAGGTTAGGATAGGGCACCAGTTCCTCAGGCACACCCTGGGTAGTGGGCCCTGGGTACCCCTGGGGGGAATGGACCACCCCACCCTGCCAGCCAGCCAGGTGCGCGCTGACTGTGCCCTAACCTAACCACCTAAAATAAGTTTTTGGTCGATCTGGCCCCCGAGAGTCGAGTCGGCATGGAAGTGCCCAACCGTTCCTGAAAATCAATTCCCCATCTGTCTCATTTTACACTACTTCCGACTGCCTTATACTTTTATTATAAACTAGCTGTACCCGCCACGCGTTGCTGTGGCTCAGCCTGGTTAAATGGAAAAGAAAGAAAATGCACGTTTGTAACATGTTTAATTTCACAATCTTTGTGGGTATACAATATTTTTTCTTGTTCCACTGTCTGTGAAGATATAGACATTCTCTGATTGCCGACTCTAGAACACGCAACATATAATTGTGAGAAGCAATCCGTGCCCAGATCTAAACCGCACAATTCTAAAGATTGGCCCTGAGCTTTGTTGATGGTGATTGCAAACGCCAATCGAATTGGGAATTACAATCTCTTAAATTGAAATGGCAAGTCCGTTGGAATCATAGGAATGTGAGGAATGAAAACATCTTCACCTTTGAAAGGTCCTGTCAAGATTGTTTCTTCTATGACGTGCCTGAATATTTTTTTACTGCAAGCCGCGTGCCGTTGCTAAGCTTTCACTGGTTGATATTTCATAACATGATAATTGGCACGTCGATATTTAATTGCAGTTCGGGCGGTGGTGGTATCCCTGGCAAATCGAGTGAATTAAAAAATTCTGTTGGATAATTAGCGGCTTCATCTGCTTCCACCACAATGTCGACGGACTTGTATGTGACTGCCTTTCTATGTATGTTAGACTAAATAATATTGTCAAGTTCTTAGTCGTCTTTGTTCTTGGCCGCAAGAACAGCTCGTTCACTCAGCCAATCGTGATTCTTATTGTGAGAGTTTTGATGACTTGATTAAGTGGGAATATATGAAATTGGTATAAGGAATTGAGCTCTGAAAATTTCTAATAATTGTGTTTATTCTATAACCTTTATTCCTGTCGTGATATTCAATTAGGTCGCCTGAAGAAGGACTTGCTTAGCTAGCACACCAGTGTAGTAAGCAGCTCATTCCTCACTTTGGGACCATGTATGAACAATTAACTAGGCGCGAGCACAAGGCACAAGGGCCACACCCTAATCTGATGCTACCATTACACAGCCTTAGCAGGCCCCACCTACAGTATCAGCTAAGGCCCCCCCTTTTGTATAATACTGTAGATAGAGTACTATACAGAATTAAATTAAATATAAGAACAGTAGATTAGACCACCATATATGGTGTGATTTATAATTTATATTAAAGACTAGGTAAACAATTTGTGGTTTATGAAGGAACCACCTCAAAGTGGTTTAAGCTACAAATTGCCCAACCCAACTGTGTGTGATAAAGTCTAGCAGCTGAATCAGAATATACAGTCCACTAAGAACTAGCTAAGAAAGAACTAAGAACTAACTCAGAAAAAAATAATATAATATCAAAGTCAATTAAAAAATAAATTAAATATTTAATATTTCATAAAAAGAAAAAGAAATAAATCCTGCTAGGATTTCCCCACAAATGTTATTGAAAACTTAATGTTTGAAACCTATAAGCACATTCGCTGTATATTTCCATTTATTATGATATTCCCCATAAAACTACTAAAAAATTACCGAATGTCTTCATATAAACAGAAAATTATTCAGATTTAAAATGACATTTTATTTATGGTTTAATTACAGACAGCAAGTTTCTCTTTAGTTTTTTATATATGTAACAATACTTACAATGAAATTAATAAATAAATATGTGGACAAATGTAACTGCTGACTCCTTCAAAAAGTGTAAGAGGCTTTTACTCTTTACATAAAATTATGACTAGTACAAAGCGAGAAGACAAATTTTGAGAGAAAATTTAGACATGTAAGTCCATGCTGATTATCAATATTTTGTATCCATATTAGATGCTTCATAGCATGTCTCGCCTCTGAAGATATAAGATATCTAAAGAATAAAAAAAAAGTGTAAAGAGACTATCATAGTAAATTATGTTACAGAGTTCCTTGTAGAGCTGCTGGGGGAGGCGAGGGCCTAAGTTTTGCTTAATGATATTGAGAAACGTAATTTTATTTAAAGAAGGTTTTCAGTAAGGGGGAATTTTAGTTGACTTTTTCACTGAAGTAAAATTTTGAGTCGCCGAATCAAATTAAAACCTTCAGCTCCGTCTTGATACATTTTAATATGATTTTGGCATTTGGTTATGTTTATTTCTGCTTGATAGAAAAGGTGCACCTTTCCGCCAACGATTCAATCAACTGTTGACTCGTCTGGATGCTGCCGGAGTAATTACCTCTTGGACTGAAGACGTAATAGCCAAAAAAGTAAAGGAAATGAGAAAAGCTATAAAATCGGACACTAATCCTATTCTCGGAGATGCAATTCAGGTAATTTTCATCTAATGTTGTCAAAGTGTCATGATATATATTGAACTGTCGTTGTATTAGATGTTCTTTCAACTCCTAATTTATCTTTTATTGTTAACTTGCAGGATGACGGGCACCAGATGGTGTTGAGCCTCAACCATCTGCAGGGAGCCTTCTACATGTTGCTGGTGGGCTCCTGCGTCGCCTTCCTCACCCTGCTGGTGGAGAACCTCGCCCACTGCTGCTCCTCGCCTCAGTAACACCTTCCTCACCCTGCTGGTGGAGAACCTCACCCACTGCTGCTCCTCGCCTCAGTAACACCTTCCTCACCCTGCTGGGGGAGAACCTCACCCACTGCTGCTCCTCGCCTCAGTAACACCTTCCTCACCCTGCTGGGGGAGAACTTCGCCCACTGCTGCTCCTCGCCTCAGTAACACCTTCCTCACCCTGCTGGGGGAGAACCTCACCCTGCTGAGGAGAACCTCACCCTGCTAGGGGAGAACCTCACCCTGCTGGGGGAGAAGCTCACCCTACTGGGGGAGAACCTCATCCTGCTGGTGGAGAACCTCACCCTACTGGGGGAGAACCTCACCCTGCTGGAGGAGAACCTCACCCTGCTGGGGAGAACCTCACCCTCTGCTGCTATTTGCCTCAGTAAAACATTCCTTACCCTGCTGGAGGAGAACCTCACCCTGTTGATGGAGAATATTCCCCACCTGGGGGAGAACCTCACACTGCTGGGGGAGAACCTCACCCTGCTGGTGGAGAACCTCACCCACCTGGGGAGAACCTCACCCTGCTGGCGGAGAAGCTCACCCTGCTGGGGGAGAAGCTCACCCTACTGGGGGAGAACCTCACCCTGCTGGTGTTGAACCTCACCCTTCTGGGAGAGAACCTCTCCAAGCTGGAGGAGAACCACGCCCTGCTGGGGAGAACCTCACCCTCTGCTGCTCTTTGCCTCAGTAAAACATTCCTCTCCCTGCTGGAGGAGAACCTCACCCTGTTAATGGAGAACATTCCCCTGCTGGGGGAGAACCTCACCCTACTGGTTGAGAACCTCACCCTGCTGGTAGAGAACCTCACCCTGCTGGAAGAGAAGCTCACCCTACTGGGGGAAAACCTAACCCTGCTGGGGGAGAAGCTTGCTCTACTGGGGGAGCACCTCACCCTTCTGGAGAAACTCACTCTACTGGGGTAGAACCTCATCCTGCTAGGGGAGAAACTCACCCTACTGGGGGAGAACCTCACCCTGCTGGGGGAGAACCTCCCCCTGCTGGGGGAGAACCTCCCCCTGCTGGTGGAGAACCTCACCCTTATGGGGGAGAACCAAACCATGCTGGTGGAGAACCTCACCCTGCTGGGGGAGAACCTCACCCTGCTGGGGGAGAACCTCACCCTTATGGGGGAGAACCTCACCCTGCTGGAAGAGAACTTCACCCTACTGGGGGAGAACCTCACCCACTGCTGCTCCTTGTCTCAGTAACACCTTCCTCACCATGCTGGGGAAGAACCTCACCCTGCTGATGGAGAACCTTCCCCTGCTGGGGAAGAACCTCACCCTGCAGGGGGAGAAACTCACCCTGCTGAAGGAGAACCTCACTTTGCTGGAAGAGAACCTCACTCTGCTGGGGGAGAACCTCACCCTTATAGGGGAGAACCCCACTCTGTTGGGGGAGAACCTCACCCTGCTGGGGGGGAGAACCTCAGACTGCTGGGGGAGAACCTCACCCTTATAGGGGAGAACCCCACTCTGCTGGGGGAAAACCTCACTCTGCTCGGGGGGAGAACCTCCCCCTGCTGGAAGAGAACCTTACCATTCTGGGGGAGAACCTCACCCTGCTGGATGAGAACATCACCCCTGATTGAGAAGAACCTCACCCTGCTAGGGAAGAACCTCACCCTGCTGGAGGAGAACCTCACCCTGCTGGGGGAGAACCTCACCCTGGAGGGGGAGAACCTCACTCTGCAGGGGGAGAACCTCTCCCTGCTGGGGGAGAACTTCTCCCTGCTGGTGGAGAACCTCACCCTGCTGGGAGAGAACGCTCACTCTGCTGGTGGAGAACCTCACCCTGCTGAGTGAGAACCTCACCCTGCTGGTGGAGAAACTCACCCTGCTGGTGGAGAGCCTCACCCTGCTGGGGGAGAACCTCACCCTGTTGGAGGAGAACCTCACCCTGCTGTAGGAGAATCTCACCCTGCCGGGGGAGAACCTCACCCACTGCTGATCTTTGCCTCAGTAACACCTTTCTCACCCTGCTGGAGGAGAACCTCACCCTGCTGTAGAGAACCTTTCCCTGCTGGGGGAGAACCTCACCCTATTGGTGGAGAAGCTCACCCTGCTGGGGGAGAACCTCACCCACTGCTAGTCTTTGCCTCAGTAACACCTTCCTTACCCTGCTGTAGAGAACCTTCCCCTGCTAGGGGAGAACCTCACCCTATTGGTGGAGAAGCTCACCCTGCTGGGGGAAAAGCTCACCCAACTGGAGAAGAACTTCACCCTGCTGGGGAGAACCTCACCCACTGCTGATCTTTGCCTCAGTAACACATTCCTCACCCTGCTGGTGGAGAACCTCACCCTGCTGATGGAGAACCTTCTCCTGAAGGGGGAGAACCTCACCCTGCCGGATGAGAGCCTCACCCTGCTGGGGAGAACCTCACCCTACTGGGGGAGAACCTCACCCTGCTGGTTGGGAACCTCACCCTGCTGGAGGAGAAGTTCACCCTACAGGGGGAGAACCTCACCCTGCTGAAGAAGAAATTCACTTTACTGGGGGAGAACCTCACCCTGCTGAGGAGAACCTCACCTTGCTGGTGGAGAACCTCACCCTGCTGGTGGGGAACCTCACCCTGCTGAAGGAGAACCTCACCCTCCTGGGGGAGAACCTCACCCGGCTTGAGGAGAACTTCAGCCTGCTGGAGGAGAAGTTCCCCTTACTGGGGGAACAACCTCACACTGCTGGAGGAGAAGTTCACCCTACTGGGGGAGAACCTCACCCTGCTGGGGGGAGAAGCTCACCCTACTGGGGGAGAACCTCACCCTGTTGGAAGAAAAGCTCACCCTACTGGGGGAGAACCTCACCTTGCTGGGGGAGAAGCTCACCCTATTCGGGGGAACCTCACCCTGCTGGATGAGAACCTCACCCTGCTGGTGAGAACCTCACTGTGCTGGAGGGGAACCTCTCCCAGCTGGTGGAGAACCTCACCCTGTTGGGGGATAACCTCACCCTGGTGGGGGAGAACCTCACACTGCAGAGGGAGAACCTCTTCCTGCTGGTGAAGAGCCTCACCCTGCTGAAGGAGAACCCTCACTCTGCTGGTGGAAAACATAACCCTGCTGAGGAGAACCTCACCCTGCTGGTGAAGAACCTCACCCTGCTGGAGGAGAACCTCACCCTGCTGGTGGAGAACCTCACCCTTCTGGGGGAGAACCAAACCATGCTGGTGGAGAACCTCTCCCTGCTGCGGGAAAACCTCACCCTGCTTGAAGAGAACCTCACCCTCCTGGAGGAGAAGTTAACCCTACTGGGGGAGCACCTCACCCTGCTGGTGGAGAACCTCACCCTGCTGCGGGAGAACCTCACCCTGCTTGAAGAGAACCTTACCCTGCTTGAGGAGAAGTTCACCCTACTGGGGGAGAACTTCACCCTGCTTGTTGAGAAGTTCACCCTAATGGGGGAGAACCTCACCCTGCAGGGGTAGAAGCTCACCCTACTAGGGGAGAACCTCACTCTGCTGGATGAGAACCTCACCCATATAGGGGAGAACCCCACTCTGCTGGAAGAGAACCTCACCCTGCTGGATGAGTACCTTAGCCTGCTCAGGGAGAATCTCACCCTGCTGGGGAGAACCTCGCCCACTGCTGCTCCTCGCCTCAGTAACACCTTCGTCACTCTACTGGGGAAGAACCTCACCCAGATTGGGAAGAACCTCACCCTGCTGGTGAAGAACCTCACCCTGCTGGAGGAGAACCTCACCCTGCTGGGAGAGAACCTCACCCTGCTGGAGGAGAACCTCTCCCTGGAGGGGGAGAACCTCACTCTGCAGGAGGAGAACCTCTCCCTGCTGGTGGAGAACCTCACGTTGCTGGGGAAGAACCCTCACTCTGCTGGTGGAGAACATCACCCTACTGAGGAGAAACTCACCCTGCAGGTGGAGAACCTCACCATGCTGGAGGAGAACCTCACCCTGCTGGTGGCGAAGCTCACCTTGCTGGTAGAGAACCTCACCCTGCTGGGGGAGAACCTCACCCTGCTGGAGGAGAACCTCACCCTGCTGGAGGAGAATCTCACCCTGCTGGGGGAGAACCTCACCCACTGCTGATCTTTGCCTCAGTAACACCTTTCTCACCCTGCTGGGGGAGAACCTCACCCTGCTGATGGAGAACCTTCCCCTGCTGGGGGAGAACCTCACCCTCCTGGTGGAGAAACTCACCCTGCTGGGGGAGAAGCTCACCCTACTGGAGAAGAACCTCACCCTGCTGGGGAGAACCTCACCCATTGCTGATCTTTGCCTCAGTAACACATTCCTCACCCTGCTGGGGGAGACACTTCAACCTGCTGATGGAGATCCTTCCCCAGAAGGGGGAGAACCTCTTCCTGCTGGATGAGAACCTCACCCTGCTGGAGAGAACCTCACCCTACTGGGGGAGAACCTCACCCTGCTGGTGGGGAACCTCACCCTGCTGAAGGAGAACCTCACCCTACTGGGGGAGAACCTCACCCTGCTGAAGAAGAAGATTCCGCTACTGGGGGAGAACCTCACGCTGCAGAGGAGAACCTCACCTTGCTGGTGGAGAACCTCACCCTGCTGGTGGAGAACCACACCCTGCTGAAGGAGAACCTCACCCTGCTGGGGGGAGCTCACCCTACTGGGGGAGAACCTCACATTCCTGATGGAGAACATTCCCCTGCTGGGGGAGAACCTCACATTCCTGATGGAGAACATTCCCCTGCTGGGGGAGAACCTCACCCTGCAGGTGGAGAAAGTCACCCTGCTGGAGGAGAACCTCACTCTGCAGGAAGAGAACCTCACTCTGCTGGAGGAGAACCTCACCCTTATAGGGGAGAACCCCACTCTGTTAGGGAGAACCTTACCCTGTTGGAGGAGATCCTCACTCTGCTGGGGAAGAACCTCACCCTGCTGGGGGAGAACCTCACCCTTATAGGGGAGAACCCTACTCTGCTGGGGGAGAAACTCACTCTGCTGGGGGGAGAACTTCACCCTGCTGGAAGAGAGCCTCACCCTGCTGAGGGAGAACCTCACCCTGCTGGATGAGAACCTCACCCTGCTGGGGGAGAACC